GGTAGGTAGGTAGTAGGTAGGTAGGTAGTAGGTAGTAGAGTAGAGTAGAGTAGAGAGAGAGAGAGAGAGAGAGAGAGTGAGAGAGGAGAGAGAGAGAGAGAGAGAGCACTTTTGTTGCTGGAGGTGAAGTTTGGCCAGAAGTCGGGACATCTGGACCAGCGGGTACATGAGCGGCTCTTGCAAGATCTTGCTGGTTTCACTGAGTTGGGCTCGTGTTGACAGTATATTCCATTCCACAGATCAGACAAGAACTCCAATTTGTTGAGGCTTTGAGTGACGGAGGAAGAGGCTTAGGTTTCAAATCAGCTCAAATATTGTGCTTTGAGATTTTGAGGTCAAATTGCATATCAACAGTAGTTGAGTTTGTAAAAATAAAATGCAGGCAATTTGGTAAAATAGAGGGTATTATGGGATTATAAACATAAGCCAATGGAAAATGGGGGATGTTACCCATAGGAAAACCGTTATGTAACACAAACAAATGTGTGGGAATATATTGGATGGCCCCAAAAGACCGAAACGCAGTAATTGTCCATCCCAAAACGGCTACTCTTGATAGGGTGAGGAACCCAAAAGAGCTCCAAATTAGTCTCCCATATCAAAATCAGTTGCCATTAGAAAATATTTAGTTTGGAGCTCCAAAATGCTCCCCCGCTATCCCAAATCTATCACAGACTCTGTCCACTTGAATAGATTGTGGATTGGGAGGATTCAGAGCTATTTTTAGAGATCTTATTTGGGGGAGACTAATTTGGAGGCTTTCTAGAGCTTTTTGGATCCTTACCTTACCAAAAAGGGTAGAATTTGGGGAATTGACTATTACCACTGTTTAGTCCATTGAGACCATCAAATACATCGGTATATTATATTACAATCCAAATGGATCAATTTGTATTTAAGAGTATCAAGAGAATGAAAATGAACTTATCTATGGAAGCACTAATATCACATGATAACTCATTGATGTAGATGTCATATACTTGGAGCCCAATAATAACTTGCATAGCAGTTTGCTGAGAATATTTTTCCCTGATTTGAGAATCTTGAATGTGTTTGTTACATACTATTGTAACTTATACTCTATGGTGTCTTTAGTGTTTATCATTTATCCATGCGGATGTCTTAGTGTTTTATTCTCTAGCATAAATTTCTTTAATTCTATTAGTTTCAAAATGAGACTACATTTTCCAGGACAGGTCAGTGATATTTTTAGTTTGTATTATATTTCTCAGTTTTGAGGATTACTTTCAAGATGTTTTGCTTGTTCCTTTGGCAAATGATATGGGTTGTTTGGCCAGTTGAATCGGATGAGCTTCAGCCCTAATTTAAGGAATGCCATGTTCTTTGAGAAGAATAACTTAGTTAGGAGGGGTGATGGAACCAAACGTAAATGGCATGCACTCATCAAATCTCAGTTGTCTGTTGAGGGGGATCTTCTTCTAAAGGAACTTGATGGTCATCATGACAAAAAAGGTTAGTACTTTGCATTTTATAGTGGAGTATCCTGAAATATTATCCACAAAGATCTACTTGGGTAGATTCAACTCGCAAGTACTCAATTGCAAATGGGTAAGAAACTAGAATATCTGTTAATAATTTATTAACTTAGTTATAAGGTAGAGATGTATTTGCTATAAAAACTTCAAAAGTTGAGTGGTCCCTTTTTGCAGAAAGCCTTATATGCATGTGTGGTTTAGAATTTATTTATTTATTATTGCTTCTTAGTTGGTCATCAATTGTGAATGATGGTTATTTTAGTTATTTTCATATTGCATCAATACTCATGTTATCATTTTCTATGGAGTCTGCATTGAGCTTATACCTCTTTGTGTTAGTTATGAACGACTTAACTAGGCATTCAACATGAGGTGCCGTGGTATATGTTGTTTGCAGACGGCATAGTTTTGATTGATGAGACTTGAAACAACGTCAACATATAGTCAGAATTTTGGAGGGATGCTCTAGATCTAACGGTTTTAAAATTAATCGGACTAAGACAAAGTATATGAAATGCAGTTTAGTAATAATAGGAGTAGAGACGAGGAAGCAGTTATGATTGACAGCCAAGAGATACCAAAAAGAGCGCACTTTTGATATCTTGGGTCTATAAGGAGCGATTGAGGAAGATGACAAATATAGAATTAGAGCTGAGTGGGTGAAGTGGAGATGTGCAACTAGAGTTTTATGTGATCACCGCATGCCAATGAACCTGAAAGCAAGTTCTATAGGACAACTGTGAGACCAACTTTTCTTTATGGGGCGGATGGTTGGGCGGTCAAGAAACAATATACCCATAGAATGAGTGTAGCTGAGACGAGGATCTTGAGATGGATGAGTGACAATACAAGATGGGATAGAATTCAAAATAAATACATTGGAGAGAATTTAGGTTTGACACCAATAGGTGATAAGATGAAAGAAAGTAGTCTTAGGTGGGCTGGTCATGTGCAGAGCAGACCCTATACAACACTTGTTAGGACGTGCGAGTTAGTTCAAGTGGAAAGTTCAAAAAAGGCAAGGGGTAGGCCCAAAAGGACATGGTTGGAAGTAGTGAGACAAAATATGGGGGCTTATGGCCTCATTGAGGATATGGCCTTTGATAGAACAGAATGACGGATCAGGGTTTGTGTAACCAACCTTAATTAGTTGGCGAAAGGCTGTGATGATGATGATGATTTTCCATGGGGATAAAGGGAAGAATGTGTCTTTCCTATTAGGTGAGTAAATACGTGGTTAGTTGGACATTAATCAAGAAGTTGAGGATGGTATGGTTTTAGGACTTAAGTTATAATGACATGAGTGTCAATGTTTAACACTTGTTGTGCCTGGAAGCACACACTAAAAAGACTGGTGTGTTGGACAATGCACTTTGTGTAATGCTGAGGGATCAACATGTGAACTACTTCTGTGTACTTAATATTTACTGATTAAAATATTCAATTAACAAGAAAACTGAATAAGAATTAGATACAAGTGTGCAGCACTAGTATATCCCCTACCTCTTCTTTTGAGAGTGATACAAGTGTCGAATAGTAGTATATTACCCTAATAAGAAAAACTCAGTCTGCTAAAATTTCCATTTATATACCCCAACTTACCTCTTCTTTTTAGAGTGATTATAATTGAATGAGAACAAGATAGGTACTTACTCTCATGGAGTTTGGTAATAGTAATGCAAGGTAGGGTTTTAGAATAAGCTTGATGGGATTTGTGCATTTATATTCTTCGAAGGACAATAGATGATGAACTCTTATCACCCATAGCAACATCTAAATAGGAGAAAGCATATCAAAGGGATGCTTAAAAAAGAAATTGAGAAAAAAAAAGAACCTGAAAGACCAGTTCAGAGAGAGAGGAGGATGAATATCTCTCAGATCACAAGGAAATGTTTAGGGGATTTCTCCTAAAAATTGAGTATAGAGGCTTGTGCGTATTGCGGATATGTGGGATAGAGGCAATACTTGTCCATACATTACATTAATGTACTTGATGATTGTCAATTCTAGCTTATGAATTTTGCATGGTTTACATAATATATTTATGTCTAATGTTACTTGATGCATATAAGTGTTTGGATCCTCGTTTTGACAATATGTCTTTAAACTATTTTTTAGCAAGATTAAATAGATATTGGCAGCAAGTTTTGTACGAGTTCTACAGCCACAATGCATGCTTTTGTCTAGAGTTCCATTTCTGCAACTTGTAACTAATGTATCATAATCATTTCATATCAAACACTAACAACAGTGAACCATCAACTTGGAGTAAATTACATATGCTCTAAAATCAACGAGTGTGTTAGGGTCTTCAAGTGAGTTTCAGTTTGGCTATTCGTGTCTTCAAGAATTTCAGCATTCTTAGGAATTTTTTTGATCTATATATGCCTCTCAAGTGGATCACTTTAGATCCTTGTGTCATTTCACATACACTTCATCTGCATGCGTGAAACTCCAAATCCATTTTGCCTTTGGGGATCATGTTCACAACCTTGAAAAATTGTTATCCTTTATTTCTTTATTACATCTTTTCAATTGATTTGAATATCATCATTTCTCTTCAATCTGAGATGTTTGACTCCAATTTGTGAATTATTCACTTTGCATATGCCACACATGGAGAAAATAACAGTTCATAGATTCTTGCTCTTGAGGAAGGGGTGCCATTCTTACTATTTGGTACCGGGAATCATTATCCCAAGTTTATCTATTCGGTGAAAATCAACACGTGTATAATAGACTATTTGTTTGAAACTTCCAAACATCCATTGGGCATGATGTACAGATTGTTATAAGTTCTCTGAAACTATCCCTCGTTGTGAACTTATTATTCATTGATGTTGCCAAATACAGGGAAAAAGAAAAAGAAAAATAAAGATGACGAAAATTTGCATGGTAGTATAATCTTGATCGCAGATAGGCAATTAAATTATGAAGGTTGATAATGATATATTTCAATTATCAGTTACTAATAAGGGTGTTTGATAGGCATGGACCTGAATTGACTATTGGTTTATTTTTTTACTCATCTATAACATGATTTTTGTCTTGGTGAAGGATGAAGAGGTCAACGAAAGGTGGAGAGTTTATTTCCAAAAATTATTAAATGACATACACAAGGGGAACGTAGCGGTAGAAGGAGCCGTTGGCATAAATGAGGGTGGAGGCCATAGATACATGTGTAGAATTAGGATATCGGAAGTAAAAGAAGCTTTGAAGATGATGAAGATGGGAAAGACTTTAGGACGAAATGGTATTCCGATAGAGATTTGGAAGTTCATGGGGGAGATTGGCATTGACTGGCTGACCAAGTTGTACAAGGTATCGAGAATAAAGAAAATATCAGACGAATGGAGAAAAAGTATTGTGGTACCTGTTTACAAGAACAAATGAGACATGCATAATTGTGTGAACTATTGAGGGATCAAACTTATGAGCCACACTACGAAGCTGTGGGAGAGAGTAATTGAGCAACAACTAAGGATGAAACGAGTGCATAAAAAAATCAATTCGGTTTTACACTAGGGAGGTCAACAATCGAGGCTATTTTCCTACTTAGGCAACTGATTGAGAAATTCAAAGCGAAGAGAAATGACCTCCACATGGTCTTTATTGATTTAGAGAAAGCTTATGATAGAGTGCCTCAAGATTTGATTTGGTGGGTGTTGAAAAAGAAAGGAGTCTTTAGACATTACATTGACTTGGTGAGAGATATATATAAAAAAATGAGGGAGCGCTAACCAGTGTACGAACAACTTGTGGAGAGACGAGTTAGTTTTCAGTAACAATAGGTCTATATCAAGGGTCAGCATTGAGCCCATATCTCTTTGTCTTTGTGGACCACCTAACTAGGCACCTACAAGATGAGGTACCATGGTGCATATTGTTCGCAAATGATATAGTTTTGATCAATGAGACATGGAACGACGTCAACACAAAGTTAGAACTTTGGAAGGAAGCTCTAGAATCTGAAGGCTTTAAAATTAGCCTGACTAAGACAGAGTATATGAAATGCAAGTTTAGTAATAATAGGAGTAGAGATGAGAAAATAATTAAGATTGACGGCCAAGAAATACCAAAAAGAGCCCACTTTCAATATCTGGGATTGATAATCCAAGAAAATGGAGAGATCGAGGAAGATGCTGCACATAGAATTAGAGCTGGGTGGGCGAAGTAGAGGTTTGCAACTGGTGTTTTATGTGATTGCCGCATACCAATGAAGCTAAAAGGCAAGTTCTATAAGATAACTGTGAGACTATCTTTGCTTTACAAGGTGGAATGTTGGGTGGTCAAGAAACAACATACTCATAGAATGAGTGTACCTGAGATGAGGATGGTTAGATGGATGAGTGGTAAGACAAGAAGGGTAGAATTCGAAATGAAGACATTCGGGAGAATTTAGGTGTGGCACCAATTGGTGATAAAATGAGAGAGAGTAGACTTAGATGGGTTGATGTGTGGTGTAAACCCAATACAACACCTATTAGGAGGTGCGAGTTAGTTCAAGTGGAAGGCTCAAAATGGGTAAGGGATACGACCAAAAGGACATGGTTGGAAGTAATGAGAAAATATATGTGGACCTATGGCCTCACTGAGGGTATAGCCCTTAATAGAGCAGAATGGTGGACTAGGATTAGTGTAGCGAACCCCAATTAGTTAAGAAAAGGTTTTGATGATGATGATGATGATCTATAAAATGATTTTTTGTTTTTTTGCTTTATTTTTTATTTTTAACGGTAGAAGAAGGGTGAGGACCTTAAACTTTCCCTTTACCCATCTCAAGCCCGGGTCAAGGAGGTGGGTTGTGTTAGGTAGGAAGCCAGCTAAATTTTTGCCATATCTTATCATGAATCCTGAACCTATATTATTGGTCTTATTAACCCTTAATAGAGAAGAATGGAGGGACAAGATTCATGTAGCCGACCCTAATTAATTGGAATAAGGCTTGGATGATGATGATGAGGATCTTTAGTTTTCTTTTTTTTTAATTTAAGAGAAGAAGTATTCAAGACCTTTTGACCTTTGGATTAGTGGAGACTTAACCCATGCTTTCTTTCAAAAGTCGAGAGCCTATCTGTTAAATGTACATGGCATTCTTTTTGCTTTGTAAATTTTCATAGCCTGTATCATCTCTAAGGTTGGAAACTGTACCTGCTCATCGGTTGTATACTAATAATGCTGATATGATTAAAATTTCCAATTGTGGTTCATCTTGGTGTTTACAAAGCTATGTTCCATTATTTTCCCTAATGGTATCCATATGCTCTAGGCTGGCTGATACTTTTTTTATTGATAGTTAAACTAATTAACTGATTTTTGAATAGGATAACAGTCTATCTTTCCCTTCATTTTGATGTCTTATTTATTTGTACAATATATCGGTAGAAACCATGGTCTGTTGGGAAAAAGAGTTTTTCTTTTTGAATGATTGGGCACTGATTTAATTCTTAGTCAGTTTTACATCTCTAACTTGTAATTCTTTGGTACTTAACACTGTAATAAAACTTATGGATGCGCAAACTAGGTACCAGTTTGGACATACCAATTATTCATAAGTACATCCATTCTTAGGTCCCCTCTTTCATGAATAAGTAAGTAGTCTTTGGTGCTATCCAACTATTCCTCCTCTTGAGAAATGGCGAAAAACATTCCCTCTTCTTATTATAGAAATCTGTTTTCCCTAATTCATGAATAACTCCATTACTGAATATCGTTACCGAGCATCTGAACTGGCCCAAGCCTTTTTGTAAATTACTAGTTTTGTACGTTACTGCTTGTTTTCTACAGATATAACTATCATTTAGAAATTAGGAACTCCTTTCCTTTTTTTATGATCTACTGGCACTTGTGATATATTTTGGATTGAGGATTTGTAAATTCAATTTGTGTGTACCTTTCTTTTCATGTGTGTGATGTTCTTAGAATTATTTGTGCAGATATTGGTGTTGTGGGCATTCATCATGTTGGTTTGCTCTGCCAAAACCTTGAAAGTTCCCTTGACTTTTACAAAAATCTCTTAGGTATATCTTCTGAGACACAGAACTTGAATATTCTAACCCTATATTTCTCTCTCTCTCTCTCTATATATATATATATATTAATTTTGATCAAACTCTAAGTGCAGGTTTAGAAATCAATGAGGCAAGACCAAATGATAAGCTCCCTTACAGGGGTGCTTGGTTGTGGGTGGGCTCCGAGATGATTCACTTAATGGAGCTTCCAAATCCAGACCCCATAACTGGGAGACCTGAACATGGGGGTCGTGATCGTCATGCTTGCATTGCAATTCGAAGTGTATCGACACTGAAGGCCATTTTTGATCGTGCTGGTAATTCTTTCTTTCTTGTTTGCAAGTCTGATCTCTGTCTTCATACATTTCCTTTTTTGCTTGTACCTTCTGCTATAAAATATGACTTCCTAAGCTTCGTTTTATAATTTAGTTTATGCAATGTTTTGGTGGCTGGTTAGTTTGTACTGTGTAGACAATGCCAAAGAAACTTTGCATTGATTCCAAGAAGGTGTGCAGAATGGCTAAAATGCACTTCTATAAGATCAGAAATAAAAAAGGGCTATTGTGAGCAAGACAGTTTTGAAAGAATTGCTTTTGTGTCCATTATAAGAAAATCTCATTTCTGTATCTGAGCATTATAAAGGATGTGGCTCATTTCAAGACATTTAATATGGAAGGATCTGAGTGAGGATGATATTCTTTTAGTGCAGTTTCTTACATTGAGGGTCCTCCCATAGCTATGACAAAGAGTGGCTGTCTCAATGATCCTGCGAATCCCGGGTATTCTAAGAGTTTGCAGTAAAGTTTCATTTCAAATCCCAAATGAGCTGCAATAGGTCCAGATGATTTTAATGCACAAAATTCTTAAGATGCTAGAGTTGAATTGACACTGCTGTTCGAGTGAAAGTTTGCTGCAAATATGCCATCATGGCAGGGCCTCTCTATGCATTTGGGATTGGTCCATGTGAAACCCTACACCCTATGCGTTTGTTGGATATGGGATACTAGGAGATGATCCCAATATATACTTATATCTCAGGTAAACTACATAACCAGGCATCAGTTGCTTGTTTCTAGCCAGGTGCCTCTCTACTTTTGCTAGCCAGAAGGATAAATTAATCAGAGGAGGTTCGTATAAATGATTTTACTCGGATCATTCACCACATACAGGAACTTCATTGACATGCTTCGTAATTAAGCCAATCCAGAGGAGGATCATGTAAATGGTTTTTAGCTAGATGACTCACCTTGTAGAAATACTTTTGTGCATTATTTGAAACAATAACCAGTACTTCACTGCATAGTGTTTGTCAACTTGTTCGGACACCTGATAGTCATGGGCATTGCCTGAGTGAACACTGGGCAACGTGTCAGAAGACCTCATGTCCTGTGATTTGGTTGGACTCCTTATACTTCGATTGAACTTAACATTAATTGATTTAGACCATGACCAAGGGGGATTCATTATTTTGAAAGTTTACGCCACTGCCACTTGATTTGAATGTAGACTTCCAACGTTTTGTCCAAAATTGAGCCTCAACAAGTACAATAGAAACCAGCCTGGTGGAAAAGCAACATACACCCAGGTTGATATCTTAAAAGAAGGTAAATGGGTTGCTCAATGATGTAAAGGGCTTTGATCAGATTGGGTTCTCACATTTACAATGAGGGCAACAAAATTGCTGATATCCTCTAGCACTTAGGCTGTTTGTAATACCTTGCAGATTTGTCACAGTCCCCCTGTTTTCCCTCCTAGGCTCATGGATAAAGGCTTAAATTCCATCAATTTCAGATTTGAGTAAATTTTATGTAAAAAAATTAAGAGAACCTGACTGTAATAGGAAGGGACCTGGTTTTCTCTTTTTATATGCAACCTTGCCTGTGCATTATTTTTTACATGCCCATGTAGTGAAGCCTTTTGATACGCACCTCATTGCAATGCACCTTTTCTCTAATACTGATGCAGAGGCCCCAACAAAACCCGGGACCCTAGGCTTCATATCTGTCGGGCACAATTTGACATAGGTAGGAGTTCTCCATTCCTAAGAATCCTAATGGGAGGATTCTTGAGATTGAGATACATGGACAGTGAAATTCAACACGTCTAGATGGTTCTAACGGTGTGTCTGATTTTCCTCTTTAAAAGAATCATGTAATGGAATATTATGTTTGGAACTTATAATTAATTTTAATATTAGATTTCTATTTAAGCACTAAACTTAGAGAGGGGGTAAGCGTCTCAACTCTAGTTCATAAATTCTATTGTCTCCTACTTATACAACAATTAAATACTTGTGAGGTTGCGACTACAACTTTTTCAGTTTCATGGATTCTCCATTGGTTCTTGCATGAGTATTATGGACAACATATTTTGGAAATTAGAAATAAGTGTAAATTATTAAAATTATTATGGTTGGCCATTTAATAATTCATTGATCATAAAATAGGTAAGGGCATTTTCATTATTAGAAAGTGTATTGTTGATATTTTCACTAAAAGTGAGTAATTATGTAGTGAAGTTCTAAGTTCTTTATTCTAAATGCCTTTGCGTTTTAGTGAATATTTCAAATATGCCGTCTTGAAATTAAAAATATACCCTTTATCTTTTAGTGCAATATCAACACTACCCTTTCCAATGAGAAACGTACCTTTAATCATTTTATAGCAATGGTATAAAACTAAAGTAATTTTGTTTTACCATAGCCTTGTAATATTTCCTCATTAATACAAGTTAACTTTCTCTCGAAAAAAAAAAAAACTAAAGTAATTTTGGCATTTCACACCCTTTTCTATAGCCTTGTAACATTTCACACCCTTTTTTGCCGAGTCCCCGTGTGTGGGTGACTTCGGTTCACCACCATAGCCTTGTAATATTTCCTCATTAATACAAGTTAACTTTCTCTCAAAGAAAAAATAAAACTAAAGTAATTTTGGCATTTGACCGCCTTTTCTATATATAACCTGCAGGATTTCATGGGGTGTTAACATTAGAAAAGCCCATATATACATGTATGTATGTTTGTATGTATATATATAATATTCAGGGTGTGGTTTGCATACGGTTGGGGCCCTAAACAATTAAAGTAAAGCACACCTTCAGATAGTGTCGAAAGAAGTTGTTTAAGTACTGGAAATCTTTGTGATGGCTTGAAAATTTATTTTCATCTCTAATTATAAAATTTAAAGCTTCAAAAATAGTGTAGATCAAGCAGATCTATGAACACTTGAAAATCTTAAAAATTGATGGTCCAAAAAATGCATTACAAGATGTGCTATTTCTAAAACTTGATATCCATTTTTTCTTATGTTCGTAGTTACATCTTGAAGTCGAGATGATCGATTTGAGGATTTTTGAGCATCGAAACAATCTAGTCTAGTATGTTTTTGATGTGTGCCTTAATTTGATTGTTTAGGGCATCATCCCTAAATAAACTTTTGCTACACACACACACACACACACACACACATATATGTATATATTCGGAACCTGACTGTAATAGGAAGGGACCCGGTTTTCTCTTTCCATATGCAACCTTGCCTATGCATTCCTTTTTACATCCTATGTAAAGCATTTTGATGAACACCTCATTGCAATGCACCTTTTTAAATACTAATACAAAGGCCCCAAAAAGAGCCGGGCTTAGAACCAAAAAATTGTTGCATGGATTCTTCACCAAAAGCTCCGTATCAATGTCGGGCACAATTGACAATTAGGGTATGGTTTGGACATGGCTGAATCCTCCATTCCAAAGAATCTTAAGGGGTGGATACTTGAGACACATGGACTGTGGAATCCAATACATCTCAAGATGTGTTAGATTATCCTCTTAAAAAAATCATGTAATAGAATATTACATTTTAACTTATAATTATTTGTAATTTGAGTTTTCTATTTAATGCTAATCATGGAGACGAGATGAGCATCTCAACTCTTGTTCATAAATTCTAGTATCTCCTACCCATACTACAATCAAATACTTATAAGGTCGTGATTATAACTTTGCTGGTTTCTTGGATTCTCCATTGGTTTTTCTATGAATATTATGCACAACATATTCTGGCCTTTTTTGTTCAATACAACACCCATGTTGCAACTACTATAATTTTATTTCTCAATGAAACCTGCTCCTCAGCAAAACTCCATGGATGTAGGATTAAACTCCATATATTGAAGGTTTGAGTAAAAATTATGTAAACAAACCGGACTTTAATAGGAAGGGACTTGATTCTCTCTTTTCATATGTGGCCTTGCCTATGCATTCCTTTTTAGATCCCACTGTAATGAAGCCTTTTGATCGACACCTCATTGTGATGCACATTTTTCAATACTAATACAGATGCCCCAATGAAAGCCAGACTTAGTATAAAAAAAAAAAATGTTGCCTGGATTCTTCACCCTAGGTTCCATATCTGTGTTGGTTACAATTAGACTCATGTAGGGTTTGGGATGGACATGGCTGAATTCTCCATTCCAAAGAATCCTAAAGAGAGTTTCAGAGGATTCTTTGGACACATGGACAGTGGAATCCAATATGTCTGGATTCTTCTCATGATGTGTCAGATTCTCCTCTCAAAAGAATCATGTAATAGAATTACATTTTGAACTTATAATTAATTTAGATATTAAGTTTTCTATTTCAACCCTCAACATAGAAGAGGTAAGCATCTCAACTCTAGTTCATAAGTTTTATTTTACCATAGTCAAATGTTTGTGAGGTGGTGTCTATAGCTTGTTGGTTTCTTGGATTCTCCATTAGTTCTTGTATGAATATTGTGCACAACATATTTTTGCATTTGTTCAATAATACAACCATGTTGCAATTACTACCATTTTGATTAATTAATCAATCCTGCTCGTCATCTTTTTGCTACACACACACACATTATATATATATATATATATATATATATATATATATA